CCCACACCCACACCCACACACCCACACCCCACCCACACCCACACCCTTGTTTTAGGGAATAAACAATGAAGAAAAAGATAACATTAGGGTAAGTCATCTCATTCTATTTCATTAAATAACATTGATTAAATTTTTTTTTCTGTTCCTTTCAGCTATCAATATCATCGCGTTATCAACATCAGATACGGTAAGTAATTTTTTTTTTGAGATGAGAATAGGTAGTGAGATTGAGGGGTTAGAGTGAGACTCATAAAAGTGAGTGTTAATGGGAGATGTGGATGAGTTCTGCCCGTTGAGGGTTAGAGTTTCGTCTTCTATGGAGGACTTCCAGGTAGTCCCTAAAAGCCCGGCCAGGAACTGTCTTGGTGTCCGTGGCACACGACGAGGTTTATTCAGACTCATTGACATATCTCTCGCGGAGAGGGTATGAATGATACGAGTCTGTCCTGTGCGTACATGAGCATTACGCTCGCCACGGCTTCACTAGGATGGTTCCTGGTCGCGTGCGCGCGAATAGAATAGATATTCATTTCATCAATTCAATGCAATTTATTTGAAACGAAAGGAACGCAAAAGAAATCTATCACGACGAGTCTATTCAATTAAAAAGCGTTGAACACGATGATTCCATGAATCGACAACATAGAGATTGCCATGTCGATCGAAGGACAAACCACGGAGACCGTTGAACTGATTTGCTTCTTCTCCTTGATCATTTCCACCCACAATGATAGTGCCCTGTTTCGCTCCTTTAGGCCAACGCATCACTCGATTATTCCACGAGTCTGCCACATAGATGGTACCCAATGTATCGACGAACAGTCCTTGAGGACGATTCAATTGCGTCAGAGCATCCCCTCGGCCTTGACCGCCAGCGACGACAATTCCTTCTTTTGCATCTTTATTCCATTTCATTATACGATGATTGTAGTTGTCTGACACGTACACAGTCTGTTGTTGATCGACAAAGATGTATCTCGGCTCATTGAGTTGATTGAGATCATCACCATTGCCATTGCCACCAGCCACAATAGTTCCATTCTTGTCTCCTATTTGATATCGTCTTACTTCATGTTTGGCGGTATCAGAGATGTAGAGATATCTCTGATCATCCATGGCCAGTCCCTGACACCAGATGTTGTCGATGAGGATTTCTCCTTCAGTCGTACCACTACGACGAGACCATCGTACAACTCGTTGATTATCTGCATCACAAATAATGAGACTATCCATCTCTTTGTCGATCAACACATCGGTTGGCGAATACATTTGATCGAATCGATTTCCTTTGCCATTGCCACCAGCTACTACTTGTCCCTTCCAATCATCCATCTTCCATTGGATGATACGTTGATTGTCGAAGTCAGCGATGACCATCGTTTGATCATCATCAACGAGGAGACCAAAAGGGTCCGCGAGTTGATGGGTGGCATTGCCTTTTCTATTGCTTCCAGCAACGGTCACTCCATTCTGTACCCAACGGGCATCGACTGGAATATTAGGAGTTACTACAATGAACGAAAAAGAAAAGGAATCATGGTTGTCGAAGGTTCCGTCTCTCGTGGGAGGAAGCGCTACAAATATAACATTCGTCTTTCAGAATGCTCATTCCACAGATAAAAATTCAGAAGTATTTTCCTAGTTTTCTATGAGAAAAAAGGATTTTGTAATGATTCTTACATCTATGTCACTTTTAGTTCTTGCCAAAATCTTTTTGATCCTAAAAACAACATCTGGAGATTGCTGTAAGAAGACCCTCGAAGAAAGAGTAATGCTAATTCTATGAAAGCTTTTGATAGAAAAACATCGAGATCAGAGGATTTTATTCGAAATTGCGAGAATGTAGAATCTTTTTGTCGGATAATCATTTACATGAACATCAGACCAGAAGAACTATGTAAAACACCTAAACTGGAAAAATCCTGAGAAGATTCTATTTGCATCTTGTTAGGAAGATGTCAAACCTAATCCCTGTTGTTGGAGAACTTTGAGAATGCTTTTTACGTCATAGGACAATTCAGGTAGGTCTATAGAATTTGATCTTCTTATATATAATGAAGAATGTTTATCTGTCTATCTGTTCTTTATGCATTTCCACACCGTACGACGGGTTTGCAATCAAACTTTGCATGAATTCTCCTCTCATACAGGAGAAGGTCAACAACTTTTTTTTTTGTTCAAAAAGAATTGGTCCTTCGCTCGCAAAAAGCATACCTATGTTACTGACCAATCAGATTGCATTATTTTGTACTATAGAAGTACTATTGAGTAGCACTTCGTGAACACACAGAAAATATGGAACCACAGGTTTTCGAAGGCGATGAGTTCGAATTAGGGATCCAATCACTTCAAAATCTGATTGGTTGGCCCGAAACCAATAAGAATCGAGCTTTTGAGAAAACGAATATCAAGGGAGACCGATGTCATACGCAAATCCAGCTTTTGGGGAAGTTAATCCCTGGAGATCGCGTGAGGCGGGAATTTCGAATAGGTAGCCTATGACGCTGAAAATTTGTGCGTCATAGATATCGACTCCTTAGGTTGTTAAAGGATCTGTCCCACAAAAATCTTTCTGTCTGCCTTTCTTTGCAATCAATCGGAAATCAGTGTGATTTCAGTAGTACAAAATGTGACGTTCTAGATCAATTAGATGTGTCGTTGTGCTTAGTTTCGATCAAAACGGATTTTTCTTGCGACGCTGTCGAAGAATCGATTGTTCATGTGGACTCCCCACTAGAAACACAACTATACAACTCTGGAACCAGGAACGTGACCAAGTACGACCGTGGTCGATCAAGATGGGTATATACTCTTATAAATGCTTGGTCAAGATAAAAAGTCGACAAAACTCATAAGTTTCATCAGGTTCTTCTTGATCTAGACGTGTAAGGACGAAGAATCCTTCACTTCTGATCAATTTTTCAATGTCAGTATTTCATATCCGTCGAGAGCGAGAGTAGCCGTGGCTGGGACTTGAAATACATCCAAGAGCCATAACCAGGATTGGAACAAAAAATAGGGTTTTATGCATGTCTACTCCCCATTGATTAGGTTTTCTGACATGTTCTCGAGCGCAATAGAAGTTTTGCTTACATATATTATGACTGAACTTTTTCGGACAACGTCGGGTACTTCCGCTAGTGACTTATAATTTTGAAATACTGAGAAGAGAAATATTAATTCAATAGAAGCTCTCCATAGGATAATATATGAATATGTAGTTTGTATACGTAATTTAGAATGCGTGAATCTTAATTAGATAGTCAGGATTTGTTTTTGATAGATGCATAATTGAATTCTTTAGAAACTTGTATTTATCTTCATTTAAAACAACATAGAAATCATTTTTTTGAACTTTGAGAAAAATAATATGTAAACAAAGTAAACAAATAGAAGAAGAAGCAGGCATCAACTCGTATATGAGTAAAAACAAAAAAAATGTAGTCGGACAGTTTATAAATAATAAGTCTCCCATCAGGTGTTTCTGTATAAATATAGGTAATTGAACTAAAGATTCTGCGTCTATATATATATTGAATTACTTTGAGAAGAACGAATAAAAACGAGTGATTTTTGAACATATTAAAATTTGTTCAAAAAAATACACGTTTTTTTTAAAGTCTTGTCGGACTGGTTTGTTATCATCTTATAACACATGACTTATTACTCTGATATTGATCTGAAACAGCGTATATCAAATGAAAAAAACTCAAAAGAATTTTAAATTTGATATAGGTTTTTATGTTAACAAAATGCAACTATAATAAGTCATTTGTTACAAAATGATAAGAAGATTGACATAACTAAAAATTCATTTAATTAAATTTCAAGTAACGCAGATCTCAGGAATAATTCAAAGAAAACCAAACGTTTAGTAATATGTAAAGATATGCGATAAAAATTATTCTATGTTTAAGAAGTTCATCGAACTATTGTACGTTCTGTGAAAGTAATATATATATATATATTGTTGCATAGATTTCGAACTATTTTGAAGTTTTTTACTGAATATATAAAGTAGGACGGACAATAAAAAGAATATATATCTATTATATAACATGTAACTTATCATCCAAAGTCGATTATACTTAATCGACATTCATTATCGTTCAATATCAAAGTAAAATAAATACCCATGTAAAAAAAAGACCGAGAAAAATCAGATTTTAATCGAT